ATATATTTTAAAGTCCTTTATATATTTATACATGTACATTAAAAGTCAAAAAAACAGCATAAGATAGAACTTGATCTTTATAGATCAGTCATGATTTTTAATGCATTTAGCATGAGTTGGTTCTGTTGCCATAGCTCTCATTGAAGCCATACTCATTGAAGAAAGAGTGTTTTCAAGACTCACAAAATGTTTTTTTGGAACTAGTGATTAAACCTGGCCCTTGTACATGCTGGGCACACACTGTACCACTAGTCCCACTGAACTCTGTCCTTAGCCCTTTTTAAAATTTTATTCTGAAACAAGGTCTTGCTAAGTTGCCCAGGTTGGCCTCAAACCTGTAAATCCCCATGTGTCACCTCCCAGGCAACTGGACTCACAAGTGTGCACAATTACACACTGCTCTCAAAACAGTGATAATTTGTTTATAGTATTACTTTATAATTTCTAGTAATCAGATGAACCTCTCTTCAGTTATATTTACTATTGTTATATAAACATTATTTAAAGTTGCCTATTAAAAGTAAGTAATCCCATGGGTAAATGGGAAACGTTTACTCACCTATGTCTGCATAAGCAAAAGTTGCTTACCTGTGAATATATGTCTAGGTTGTTAAGCGAAATGCTAAAATTGTGTTTCTTGGGTAGGAACATTGTTGATGCACAGAATTCTCGTCCCATTGAAGATTTATTCAGGATAAATATGTCTGAGAAGAAACGGTGCAAGAGAGTACTTGAACAGGTAATTTTCTGAAGATTGCTGTGAAAATGGCTGGTTTTTCTGAATGTTATGAATAAAAAAAGGCCCATCTTTCTATGTTAGCTCTGAGGAATAATGTTATGCAGGCTTAAGAGCAAAAAAGGCATTTGGCCCCTCCCCTGTACCTCATGAAGTGTTTATGTCTTGGACCCTTGGCAGCACTTGGCCATGGTTCCAAGTCTTTATTTTTAACTCTATGTATTTAGGAATTTGACTTTTCAAATTTGTTAATCAGATTTATAAGAAATTAATATTACAGCAAAATTTCACTTTTATTGGTTTAAAATCCACAAAAGTGGGAAGTAGTAGCACTTGTCCAAACCTAGAAAACTTGATTCCTCATTTAAGGATTGTGATGCCTGTAAACTGAATTAATAATTGAAAACCTGGTAGAGAAAGATGTAGGTTGGTGTCCCAGGCTTTGCAGCTTACATTACTTAGTCCTCACCCCCCTCTCTAAACTCAGGGAGGGTAGACAACTCTGCCTTAGTCCTATGGTACTATAGTGGAAACAAAGTCTGAGTCCATGATGTTTTACTTTAATAATTTCCTCAATGGATTTCTAAAATTTTCATGGCAACAAATGTATACTGCTACAGTTTTCTTCCTTATAGAGCATGCTCTTGGTGTCATTTTCCTTCTTGGAAATATTCTGGAACTTTATGTTCTGTGGAAAAGGTCTCTGATTAATATAAACTGTATAGCTTTTCTACAAGGTATACCTGAAGAGCCTTTAAAGTATTCATACATGTTAGCCTGAAAGTTATTACCTTTTAGCCTGAAAAAATTTGTTTTGTGGAATTAAGTAGAAATACATAATTCATATTACAAGGGCCTTCACCTAATATGATTTATAATAGCCAAAATTTGAGATGTCGTTTTAGAGTTACTTAGTAGGCGGCCGGATTATATAGTTTATATAATATGTGTTGTGAATGGATTTATATAACTATGTGCAAGAACATATATAGCATACATACTTATAAAATATATTTTTATGTAATTATAAAACTAGTTTTATACATATCCAATTTAAATACAACTGCGTAGTTGTATAATACATGCAGATAGATCTGTTGGAATCCTTTATACAGTAATTTTCATTAATTTCATACATATTGGTTGAACACCAACTCAGTATATGTAAGGCTTCATTTCAGAAGCTTGGGATGCAGTAATAAATAGCCTAGACCCAATTCCTTTCTTCGCTGTCTCATAACTGTATATTATATTGAACACTATATCCAAGTAATTCTTGCCTATTCAGAAGGATAGCTGTTTGAACACTTTTTTTTTTTCTGCTACTTGTGGTTTTTCTCATAAGTTGTAACTTCTTCACAGCAAGGACTATGTCTCTTTCAACTCTGTATCCTCCTAATCTTCCCTGTACAATGAGTTTAGTATTTATAGATTTGGACTCTTTATTTCGCAGTGGTTGAAGAAATGAAACAGACTAGATAATAAGACTTTTTTGCACACAATTTATAGAAGCTATTATGAAGATATCTTTGCTGAAAGGGTCTATTAATTGGAAAATTAACACTATTATGGTATTGCCTTTTTAGTAATTCCATTTAGGGTGATTTTTAAAAATTATTATTTAGGACATTTAAGTACTGAGTGAGATGTGAACAGATTGAAATATTGTTCCTTAATTCATGTTTTTAGCTGGACTTCCCAATATCGAGAATACTTAACTGTTTGTTTGTTTCCACTCTCTTTTTACATTGCAGGCTTTTAAGGGCGGCTGCAAAGCTCCCCATGCTATGATATCTTCTTGTGGAACAATCCCAGGAAATCCATATCCCAAAGGAAAACCTAGTCGTATAAATGGAATTTTTCCAGTAAGCACACCTTGATGGCTGTATATGAAACTTTTCATGACTAAGTGATATGTATTTTAAGTTAATAATATTTAAGAGAAAATACCAATTAATGATGTATCTGTGAAAGAAAGGAATGCTATCAGTATAATTCCTGGATTTACCATCAATTCAAAGTTCTTGTGTAAACTTAATGTTTAACATGTTTTTGTAAAAGCTTCAGAACAAGCTAAACAAAATTAGATGATTTTGTTTTGTTTTCAGGTTTATAAAGGAACATTTCTTAAATTCTCTATTTTTCAGATAGTTTCACTGTTAATATTTGAGAAACTTTGCACAGTGTTCTTCCTGAGAATCATGTTACATAATAAAGCTGCTGAGAAGTCCTGTAAAAAAGATGCTTGGTTTTAATAGCATCTGTTACTCTCAGTCACTTTGTGAGATAATTTTTTTTTTTTTTTTTTTTTGGCTTTTTTGAGACAGGGTCTCATTATATACTTGAAACTGACCTGAAACTATGTAGCTCAGGCTGATCTCGAACTCACAGTGATCCTCCTGCCTCAGCTTCCCCAGTGCTGGGATTACAGGCATGCGCCACAATGCCCGGCAGATAAATTTTTTAAAAGACATGTTTTAGTTGCTGAATAACAAATAACCTAGGAACTGCGTGATTAAATTAGTGAATGTGGATTATCTCACTTAGTTTTTCTGGGTCAGGAATCTGGGATTAATTAAACTGGTTAGTTCTTTTGAGATAGTGAATTTATCTTAAAGCTTGATTTGGAGCTCACAAATATATTTTTAAGGTTTTTAAGACATTTACATGCCTGCCAAGTTAGTGTTGTTTTTGATGGGAGCTTGTTTGTTTTTGTCAGAAGAACTTTTTCCATAGTGCTGCTTGGGCATCCTATGACACAGCTGGTCAAAGTGAGGCCAAGTGGAAGCCTCAAGGCCTCTATGACTTTGCACTGAAAGTCAAATGCCATCATTTGTGCATTTTTCTATAGTTGCGCAGGCCAACCCTTTTCATTGGTTATACAGTTCAGCCTTATCTGTTTTGATTTTTTGTTGTTGTTTTTTTTTTTTTTTTTTTTTTTTTTTTTTTTCAGCACTTTTGAGGCAGGCGGTGGAACCACTGAGCTAAATCCCCAGCCCAAGCCTTATCTGTTTTGGGACAGGAACACTTAAGAAACGTGGATTAGTGGGAGGCCACCTTGTGGTTGGTTTCCATGCTAATGCGTAGAATTTAAGGACATGAACTATCTGGAATACACGCTGTTACAGTTTAATCCTTTTTCTGATTTGTGTCATTATAACAGTCTTTCATAAGATCCCTGCCCTTAAAAACATAGACAGTCAATATTTTCACAGGCCACTATTTTTTCTCATACTTTCAACTAATACAGGTGTTCTTTTTCATTCTTTAGCATTGCCTATGCTGTGACATTTCAAGTCTATAGTTGGTTTCTATAGTTGGAGATGAGAACATACTTTCTCCTTCCCTCTGACATCCCCTCTATGTATTACGTGTTTGTTTCTAAGTAACTGCTGCCATAAGAGTTCTGTGACAGAGGAGGTTAAGAACTTCCTTATCAGGATTGTATAGCCAGGCAGGTCAGAACTAGGTTTAGAATCTGAGTCTTATTCCTACAGGTTACATCCTTTACTTCAACGTAATACAATGTGGTTATTTGTTGTTTTGGTTTGGGTTGAGTTTCTTTTTTTATTTTGGTTTTAAGTTATAATTTTTTTTAATTTTTATTTTTAAATAGGGAACACCTTTGAAAAAAGATGGTGAAGAATGTACCAATGAAGGCAAAGGAATAGCTGCTCGGATTCTTGGACCATCCAAACCAGTATGTTTAAGGAAATAAAAAATGGAAGTTTTAATTCTTAATGCAGTTTTCTGTCTCCAAAGAATAAATTAAGTGTTTGTGTTGCAAAGTTTCAGTATAGGAGAAATTCTATGGGAGAATGGCTGAGGGCAGTGACAGTGAACCTTTTAGAGCTTTCATTGATACGAATGCCTGCTAGACGTGCCCAACACTGGCCTAGAGAAATATGTGTAATTACTTGGCAGTCTCATAGGCCCTTTTGAGTTTACATGTTTTATTTTATTTAGTGAGATCAGCCAAATTATTTTTATTCTTTTCTCTTGCCACATTCACCTGTACAATTTAAGTATAGTGTGAGGTGTTTGCTTTAACTGAGGTTTTGGTTTGGTGAAATCAGTATAAATGAAAGAAAAATGAAGCCTGATGGTTGAAAGTCTTTTCAAGGAAGTGACTATGATTAGGATGTAAACTGGATAAGAGAAGATACCCCCGTGTGTGAGGGATTGTTGGAGTTCAAGGACTAGAGGCCTATGCACAGCCACCTTGCAGTCCTTGCCCATTCCATGAAAAAATGCAGTGGCTGTTGTTTGTAAGACTTAGACAGAAACTCAGCCCTTCCTACTACTGCTCCAGAGGCATGTGCTCTCTATAGGTACATGTACAGCATATAGTTTAGCTTCAGGTATTTCTAGTTCTTACATAAATACTATCAGCTATAAAATAAAGTATGTGTGGATTTGTGGATTCAAAAGGAAAAAAAGGGTAGAAATGATAGGTTGAATTCCTAATGAGTTTAGGAGGATATTGCCATTGGGATTTTGGGTAGGCAAGATTCCAAAATTAGCCTATTTTTATTTTTTACTGAGGAGATAGCAATTATTGGATTAACATAGGCTGGATCTCAGAGAAGTTTGCTATTTAGGATAAGGTCTGACTTCATTGGAGATGATTGGGTACTGAAATAAAAAAATACACAGTGCTCTTTGGCAGGATCTAAATTTAGAATTTGATGGGAACCACTCTTACTAAACAGAAATTTCCTTCATTTGTGTCCTGTCTTAGTCTGATAGTCTTAAGACTAAATATTTTGGTGACTTTTATTTTGTCTTGTTTGTTTTTTTGCCAGGAAATAGCTTATTTGTCTTCTAACTGCTATACCTTTTCTCCTCGTCTAGCCTCCTTCAACATATAATCCACATAAACCTGTTCCTTATCCAATACCTCCATGCCGTCCACATGCAACTATTGCACCAAGTAAGGAGTCCTTTAATTTCTACTTCTTTTTTACTGTTTATTAAATTAAAAGTAAGTACTAGTGTTGGTGCTTAGGAAATCTGCAGTTCTTCTGAGAGTTTATGAGTTTATGAGAGCTTAATTTTGCCAACAGCTTTTCATGTCGAACTACTAGTAGCCTCTGCAGCAGTTTACTTAGGGTATTTTCCTTTTGATAAATTAGTTGCACATTATTTTTACTCATTCTTTATCATTATGGGTTCTCACTTTGGTAAATGATCCTGAAACCCTTTTTTGGTTTTTGGTGTATAGAAGTATCATTAATGTATTTAAGTCAGGTCCATATTCCTGACTGTAAGAATGGTGGGTTCTGCCTGCCTTGCTAGTCAGTGAGCTTATGCCTAGAAGGGCACGCAGTGTGAAGTAGGAATCACCTATTGTCTCAGTGGTCTCTTGTTTTCACTTAACCGTAGACTCTAACTTCCATGTACAATCTAACTTGTATATGACAGTATTGAAAATAGATTGGAATGCTATATTAATATGATTTAAACTCCTGGCTACAGAGTGATAATAAATTGTATGTATTTTTTCTTACTATATTTTTACTTTAGGTGCTTACAATAATGCAGGTCTGGTACCATTAGCCAATGTCATCGCTCCAGGTATACCCCCTCCACCTCCATATACTCCAAATCCGGTAGGAACAGGTAAAGTCATGTTATATTCAATGTTAAATAACTTACTCATTCACAAACATCCATTTGGCGGGGGCAGTTGTGTAACATGTGTTCTAACAATGGAAGCACAAGTTCAAGAGTCTGACAAGTCTGAATAGGTGTCCTTGGTAGCATCAGGCTGCTTTCATTATCTTGATGGGCTTCCATTTTTCCTTTTTTTGTTGGGGGGTGCTGGGGATCGAACTTGGGACCTTGCATTTATGAGGCAGGCAGCGGAACCACTGAGCCAAATCCCCGGCCCTCACTTTTCCATATGTAATATAGAGTAGCAATAATATCATCCAGCTGGACATGGTGGCATAGGTCCATGGTCCAGGTACTTGACTGAGGCATGAGGATCACAAATTTGCAGCTGCCCTTGGCAACTTAGCAAAATCCTGTCACTTTACTAAATAAATGTAATTAGAAACACTATCATTTAATATTAAATGACCTTATAATGTGATGTATGCTGAGGATTCAGGGTACATGAACAGCCCTGTTCACAAAGAGTTTGCAAACTAGTGAAAAATGCAGGTAAAGAAATCAAGACAATTTCAGTATATTCTATTTCATTGGTTCTATGCCTTTTTTTATGGTTTAATTTCCCTAAAGTTGGAATGCATTTTATAGCAAATGATTTCTTAACTGTTTGAGAGAGAAGATAGAATGAGAAATGCTGTAACCAGGTGCATATGTGGAAACTCACAGGAAGGGGATCCAAACTAATTCCCCTAAAATAAATGTGAACTGTATAGTGTACTGCTAAAGTTTGTCAACTCAATAGTACACCTTCCATTTAACTGAATTAAATTGAAGAATCAGCTAAGAAGAGACTGGTGATAAAATGTCGTATGAAGAATACCAAAGTAACAATAAGGTGATTTCTTTGTTGCCATGAGCTGTTGGGTATTTTTCAAAAGCATCTTCAATTCCCTACTTGAGAAATTTGGATTCAGTTATTGGGGAGGGGGTTGACTTTATTTTTAAATGATATCCAGGTGATTTTTAACTTTAAGCAAGTTTAAGAGATACTGAAATCTCAAATATACTGGTACACAAAGAACCCAAAAAGCATCAGAGTATCTGGATTTTTTAACTACTAAATTTAAGAGAGCTAAGGCACTTTATACCACCAAATCTTTATTGTGCATCTTTGGGCATTTAGGGGAAATGCTTATCTGGCTCAGCAGGGGTGCTTTAGAGAAACTACAATTTCTAGATGAATAGATGAATACTTAAGGGGTTGAGGGTTGGGTTACCAAAGGTTTTTTTGCCCAAGGCAGTTTATCATGTTCGTGTTGGTAGGGTGGGAAGGTGGTGAGTTGGATACCCCATGCCTGGCAGAAGAGGGGAGGGAGTTACAATCTGTCCTGCTATAGCCTGAGTTTCACTGCCAGTTGACAAGATGGCCTCATTCACTTTTGAATGACATTAAGGTTCCACTTAGGTTCCCTTGGACCACATGTGGAAACATAGGCAGGTTATAGAAAAATAAAAAGAGCCATTTCTTATGAACAATACGACAAGTCATGAAGAGGAACAAATACCACCATTTGGGCAACATGGGAATGAAGGGCTTATAAAAAGGTTAGAAGGACGAACTAATATTCCCAGCACTTCCCGTCTCATTCTTTCTGATGCCCAGGCTGGCATCTTTCCAGAAAGGCCTGTTAAGCTTATCTGTAAAATTACGTTGTGTATTTAAAACCTAACAAGTTTAATGGGAGGACAGCAGGAGAGGGCAGAGTGGGGGGAGAAGAAAGAACAATTGTTTATAACCCTCAGTGTGCATATATGTATGGTTTTTATTTATTTTTTTTCAGGCATGTATTTTATTTCCTTACCATATTAATTTTGACACCAGTTTCAGATTCTTAGTGTGTTGAATAATTTGATTAAAATTGAAATCAACTTTTATTTACTTTTATGTAGAAAATGAAGACCTTTCCAATCAGTCAAAACCTACACAGAATCAAAGTAAGTACCAAATTTGACCCAGAGGTCACAGATATCTCTCATAGTTGTCTGCTTTGTTATTCACTGAGACAATTTGAGTTGAATATATCTTGGATATTATAGAAAAAGTTCTTGGATGAAGGATATAATTAAAACTTATTACCTGTGGCTTAATAGTGCTATGTTTTATCACCATGAAATGCACATATTAATTGGATTTAAAATTAATCTTACAACTTTATGTCCTATTTGCAAAACTTTCAGTGAAGTCTTAGTAGTATCTGGTATCTGTATGCATACTCATTTTATATTTTGATATTGGAAGCCTCATTTATTTATATAAACATATGGTATGGTAAAAATCCCTTTGACAAATGGTAGATCAGATTCTACTTTTAGATTTAGTTTTTTCAATAAGTAGTGTTAGGCATAATTTAACTTAAGGTTGAAAAGCACCAGAGCAGAAAGTGAAATTATAAATGAAGTGTTGCCCAAGTGGAGCCTCCAGGTGGCATCAGCGCTTAAGTACCTCTTCATCCCCTAGTTGAAGGTATGTGTGACCAGGAAGGAGGCGCCTTCTGGTGTGGGACAAATACTGGCATCAGTTCTTTATGACAAAGTAGTTCTCGAGTCTAATTATTGTGGCACATGGTTACGAGTCTCAGTGGGAAAAGTCCCCTCCCTGGGGACGGTACCTAATGAGTACTTCTGAGTTGGTTTCTAAAGGAGGTAGCATAGTTGGGTAGAAAGAACACTAAGTAAGAAGGTGTCAGGACATCTAGTTTTTTATCCTGGCTTTGTAACCACTTAGCTTTGTAATCTTGAGAGGGTCACTTAACTTTATGAAAGGGGGATGAAGGAAACTTATATCTTTTGTTTCACTACATTAACAATTCTATTTTGGAAAGAGGTAACCAGGTTAAATGTCATAGTACCACTGGTAATAGCATACTTCGGTTACCTGTGCTGTGTTATTTGAACATGATTAAGAAGATAGTTTTTGTTTCTCCTTTTTTAACCTTATTAAGAAACAATAAAGGCCAGGGATTTAGCTCAGTGGTTCGGTGGCCTTCCTTGCAAGCACAAGGACCTGAGTGCAATCCCTGGTACCAAAAAAAAAAAAAAAAAAAAAAAAAAAAAAAAAAAAGAATCAATAAAAACAGGGCTGGGGATTTAGCTCAATGGTTCTGCCGCCTGCCTTGCAAGCACAAGGACCTGAGTTTGATTGCTAGTACCCCCCCAAAAAAGAAAAAGAAAATAAAAATAAACTATTGCATTGTTAAAAACATAGGTCTGACAAATCAGCATAATGAAAACCAGCAATTTATATACTATAAGAGTTGATTATACCTGTCATTGATTTTCTTTGATATTTGTGAGATAAAAATTGTCTTGCATTTCTTTTGAGTTCAAAGTGGAAATTTTAGTGTGATGATAATTTCTTGCCCTTTTTCTCCCACAGCATTTTCCACCCCAGCAAGCCAACTCTTTTCACCTCATGGTTCTAACCCTTCAACACCTGCTGCAACTCCTGTCCCCACTGCATCCCCAGTCAAGGCAGTAAACCACCCATCAGCATCAGCAGCTGCCACTGTTGCCGGAATGAATGTACCAAATGCCGTCCTTCCTGTGTTCCCAGGGCAGGTCTCCTCTGCCATCCATACACCTCAGCCATCAATGCCAAACCCAACAGTGATTAGGACCCTTTCACTGCCCACTGCACCTGTAACTTCCATCCACAGTACATCCTCTGCTCCTGTTCCTGCCATTTTTTCTGGCCTAATGCCATTGCCAGGTCCTTCTGCTCCTGCTACCCCGGCGCCTCAGGCCACATCTACACCTCGAGCCACTCTTGCTTCGAGTGAAACATTTGCTTCCACTTCTGCCCCTTACACTAGCCTCTCCTTTTCCACCAATACTACTGCTGCTTCTACCAATAACCCCAATTCCACATCCTTGTCATCAGTTTTTCCAGGTCTCCCTTTGCCCTTACAACCAACATCCCAAGGTGTATCCAACCCAACTCCTTCTGTGATTACTGGTGGTTCTGCTCCCAGTGTTGCTGGTTCACTTGGCCTAAATAATCCTCTTTTGTCTGCTTTAAAAGGCTTTCTGACATCAAACGACACCAATTTAATCAATTCCTCTGTTTTGTCATCTGCTGTCACAAGTGGGCTAGCTTCATTATCCTCTCTTACTAATCAAAACTCTGATTCTCCTGCCTCGGCCCCTAACAAGTGCTATGCCCCGTCAGCCCTTCCTGCACCACAGAGGTCTTCTACTCCCGGACTGGCCATGTTCCCAGGCCTGCCATCTCCTGTGGCTGCCTCAACCACCACACCCCCTACGCTGCCTGTGCAGTCTCCTTTGTCCGCCGTTACATCCTCTTCAACATCAGTGCCGGTGAGCTGTGGCTCTTCAGCCGCCCTCTTACATGGTCCCCACCCAGGTACTTCAGACCTACACATTTCATCCACCCCTGCTGTGACAACTATTCCTGTTATGATCAAAACTGAGCCCACAAGTCCCACTCCCTCTGCTTTCAAAGGCCCCTCTCATTCCGTGAATCCTCCTCGTGGCACTTTAGGCTTGTCAGGGACGTTGGGCCGTGCGTACACTTCTGCATCAGTGCCCATCAGTTTATCTACTTGCCTTAATCCTGCATTATCAGGTCTCTCCAGTTTGAGTACCCCCTTAAATGGTTCCAATCCCCTTTCTTCCATTTCCCTCCCGCCGCATGCTTCCTCCACTCCTATTGCTCCAGTCTTCACTGCTCTTCCTCCTTTTACTTCTTTGACCAATAGTTTTCCTTTACCTGGAAGCCCCTCCCTAAACCCATCCGTATCTCTTCCAGGGTCACTGATAATCACCTCATCTAGTGCTGCCACCTCCACAGCCATGCCTGCTCCTAGCTCTACAGCAGCTGTTCTCTCAGGGCTCTCTGCTTCAGCACCAGTCTCAGCAGCACCTTTCCCCCTCAACTTGTCTACTGCTGTCCCCTCACTCTTTTCAGTTACTCAAGGGCCTCTACCCCCTTCCAATCCTTCCTACCCTGGCTTTTCTGTCTCTAATACCCCCAGTGTTACCCCTGCTCTTCCCTCGTTCCCGGGACTACAGGCACCCTCCACAGTCACAGCTGTCACACCACTGCCTGTTGCAGCCACAGCCCCCTCACCAGCACCTGTCCTCCCAGGATTCGCTTCAGCATTTAGTTCTAATTTCAACTCTGCTCTTGTTGCACAAGCCGGGTATGTGAATAGTTTGAAAATAGGATAAAATTATTTTTCCCTCTAAGTTTATCTCATTGCCTTATGTTATTCAAATGAAAGTCGAAATGGAATTATTTGGTGGTCCTAAATTATGTTTTTTTGGACCAAAACTTTAGTTCTAAAAGATGTTTCATGGCTCTTCAGTGATGGTAAGATAAATATATAAATATCAATGCTTATTAACGATTTTAGAATTTAGTATTTGGTTTAACTGTTACTATCACATAGTGTTTAAAAACACTAAATTTAAATATACTAAAAAGTATTACAAATACTATTAGGATTTGGTTTACTTAACTTTCTTGTAGCATAAGTTATTAGATAAACTATAAACTTAATAAATTCCAAATAACAATTTAATAGCAGTTGAGTGGCTGATGTTATGGTTCTTTTCAAAAGAGGAATAGATTTCTAAAAATTTTTTAACAAAATTGTGCTATGATAGATATGTAAGTATTAATACTAACAAAGTTTTAGGATTTCTATTTGTTAATTTGCTTATAGGAGGAAGTATTATGTAAAACATAGATTTGTTGAATTCAGAATTACTTTAATTGAAATTGAGTGGCTGGTTTCCTGGTTCCTTCCAACAGAAAAGTGGATTCTAAGTTTTTGTTTTGTTTTTACATCTTTTGATACTACTCGACAAATATATCAGTGACTTGTCTTATCTGGAGTTTGACCTCTTTTTCCCTCAATTGTAGTTTATCATCTGGACTCCAAGCTGCAGGCAGCTCTGTTTTTCCAGGCCTTCTGTCCCTCCCAGGTATCCCTGGGTTTTCCCAGAATCCTTCACAGTCGTCCTTGCAAGAATTACAGCATAATGCAGCTGCACAGTCAGCATTGTTACAGCAGGTGAGCAGGCAATGTCTGTTGTAAATAAAATAATGTGTCCTACTAGTTATACGTGAATATCCCAACATTGGCAAAAAGTAGGTTAGTTCTTCCCAAAATTTGCAATTTAGGCTTGTTTTTAAAAGTGTGACAAAGCTTAGGATGAAATCATCTGTATGACTTATTTTTCTCCCTTGCAAAATTTTTAAATCTTTATTTGTAGATTTTACTTAAAATGTGGGCCAGGGATTTGGCTCGGTGGTCCCACCACCTGCCTCACAAGCACAAGGGCCTGAGTTTGATTTCCAGTTTAAAAAAAAAATGATATTTTTAAGACAAGTTTAACTTGTCTTCTGTTTAAGCTATAATGGACCATTCAAGTAAATTGTTACTAGAAAACCTCTTGACTTGTATTTTCAAGAATATTAAATATTTTAATGGCATTTCTGTGACTTCTCTGCCTGAAGAAGTTTTAACACGTCATTGAAAATGTAGGAGACTAACAAACTTTATCTTGCCCAACATTGTTCTTTTCTTCCTTATCTGTAGCATACCATAGCCAAAAGCAAGTCCGGAGTTGATTGAATGAAACAGTCTGCTAAACTGTGCTTTTTTCTCTCAGGTCCATTCAGCCTCCGCTCTAGAAAGCTATCCAGCTCAGCCTGATGGCTTTGCAAGTTACCCCTCGACACCAGGAACACCATTTTCTTTGCAACCAGGCCTATCCCAAAGTGGGTGGCAGTGAATATTTTAGTATTTGTTTTCTTGGGAACAACGTGAGATTTGCCTAAGAACTGCAGTGAACAATCTGACAAATGTGAAGTCAGCCAAAAGTCAGAAGATGAAAATGAGGATAATCCTAGGGAAATTATGACAAGAAATTCTAGTTGCATTTTTGAAAAATGGTTTTAAGTATGAATATTCTCCATTCCCTTATGTAAATATGCTGACAATAAACTGTAAGGGGAATAGTATTTTAAAAATTATTTGTGGACTTTTCACCTTCCATCCTACAAAATTTTGAATCATGTATGTGGTCTACATAGAATATGAAAAGAGAAGACCGAACTCTTTATAGCCGAATACAGCCTTAAATCTGCTTGTATAGCATCCATGGACAGAAGTAATAGTTGTGCCTCAGATTTATGGGTTGCATGTGGCCCTGGGGAGTTACTGCCCTTGGTATGCATGAGTGGTTCCTGTTAGAATCAGTTGGAACTCCGTATTCTGTATGTATTCACAGAAGGGAACTGGAGACCCACTGCTATTTTTAATTTCTGGTATTTATGATCATACATACTGCTGAATTTAACTCAATGTTTCAGATAAGTGGAAATGGTGCTTATTATGTAGTCTCTAGAATGACTTTCAGGTGTTTTCAACTAAAACTATATATCCAGAACTACTTTCTTACAGAAATATAAGGAAGGCTTATTATTTGCCTTCAGAATAACTTACCCTAATCTCAGCAGTATCCAGATGAATGAGGAACACTTGGGCCACCTCTATTATTCATTGTACTCTGGAAGCTCTTGGTAAATGTTTACAATCATGGGATGTAGTATTTTTATGTGTATTTAAATCAGATGCTTATCTGAAATAATTATGTGACAGCAAATAGAGAAAACTTGCTCTTTTAGTAAGTAAGCAGTGCATACTCTAAGGACCTGTGGTAATATAACATGATTGAATGTCATTAACTTAAGAGTGATAATTGCCACACTGGGGTGGCGGGTAGAAAGAAAGAATTTCAATCCTGTGATTAAAAGTATAAACTATAGAGTCTACTGTAGTACATTTCAGCATCTAGAAGTTTTACTTTTATAAAGATGGTGTCTGGAAGATGTTGCAAATGTATTTTCCTTCAACATGGGAAACAAACTTTTTAAGTATATTAAATATTCCTGTATGGTTAGTTTTTAACAATTTTTTAAAATAAACTTTATGGATATGACAAATACTTCAAAGGTGTTTTGTTAAATGCTTAAGATAGGCGGGCCCCGGAATTTAGCTCAGTGGCTCCACCACCTGCCTTGCAAGTGCAAGGTTCTGAGTTCGATCCCCAGTAGCAAAAAAAAAAAAAAAAAAAAATTTTTTAGG